AAACACACACACACACACACACACACACGCAAAACCCTAGATCCTAGTTTTACCCTATATTACAAATACCAGTACATACCTGGACCAGGAATTTTTACTGCTGACAAACCCACTTCGATCTTGCACAAAATTAATGTCAACGCACTAACCAAACACTGGTGATCTTTAGACTGACCTCACTTCAACCCTCAAACAGCGCCTAAATGATTTTTTTCTCTCGGTCAAATCTAATAAACGGAGATAGCTATTTCGATTTCTTCGTCCTAGGATAAAAAGAAAAAATCAAAAAGGCCTGCACGCAAGCAGGCGTGTGAGCATGCGCCAATACAGGTCCTAATTTTCCTGGCGATGCTATATTTCTGTTAATTTTGTCATTTGCATTAAAAAGATTTACGTAAAGGTACAACAAGGCACAACAAAAATATCGCATGCGCACAAGCGAGGATACCCCTTTAAATCTCTCTCGCGCGTCTACATACCAGAATCCTGCTACATACGTAGTGAATTCCTTTCATTTCCGTTTGCTATAAAGTAATAACAAGAACTTGACTTATTTTGACGACTACGTTTGTACAGAAAAACTAAGTTAATTTGAAAATGATATCAAGTTGGCTTTCGTGCCTTTCTTTACACCGCTCTGTACAGAAAATCGGTAATACACCTACAGTTTTCAGACAATAGGTTTCGTTTCGCTGTGACGTAAATAAAAAAACACAATAACACATGAAGTAGGCCTATATCCGATCTGGCTGGATCAAATATGCAGCATGAGTACCCAATATCCCATTCCCGTAAACACCATCGGTCTACTTATATCGATCCAACTTTGCAGGGACTCTCGTTGATTGCAATCAGCTTAACTAAATGACACGCTTCCTCTTGTTTCCAACGTACTCGTATCATCCTCAGATTTTCTACTCAACGCCAGGAGGAGGCTTTTCATTCAGTTAAGCTGATTGCACTCAGCAAGAGTTCCCGCAGAGTTGAGTCGATCTAAGTAGACGGGTGGCGTCTATGGGAATTGGGCCTTAGCAACGGGGGCACGGAGAGCGCACGAGCACAAAGGAGGGCGGGTCCACAATACAGACTGTCGACATTCGATCTGAATGACACTAACGGATCTGAGATTCTGTGAGTCTCTCTCTCTCTCTTTCTCTCTCTCTCTCTCTGTGTGTGTGTGTGTTGGGGGGGGGGATAGGGGGACTGCACAAGAACGGTGACGGTCATTTCCATCTCACTTTGCTCAGCAATAATTTCAGACGAAAAAAAAACGTTTTGGTGGATTGTCAAGGTCACAAATGGGAAAATTTCTGGTTTTTGTTTCGTTTTGAAGGGAAGCACGGGCCACTTTAGACGCTAAGAATTCGAAGGGAAGGCAAACGGCACTGACTTGCCCCGGTTCCTTCAGTCTAGGATCCTTTATTTTGGATCCTAGCTTCAGTGTACGCCTACGACTATACATATTATTTCCTAGCATTCCTGGAAACGACGAACAAAAGAGCTTGTGCGAATAAAACGAATAATGCATCCAAGACCACAGACACGAATTTCCTAGATGCCTCTGACAAATCCCATACTTCCATTACCTACTCAAAGGCTTCTTTTTTGAACTGTAATGACAGTTGGACATTAACGCCTCTTTGATGTTCATATTAACACGTTCCCGGGGTACGACACTGAAGAGGCGACTGAAGTACTCGTAATGTAAGCTCCCATGTAAACATTTCTAAGTAAGAGAAGAACCTGTAGGACACGTATGAAAGACAAGACATAGCGAGAGGCCTACAAGTGCTTGCAGGTTGACATACATTGTATGTGTATTATACCACTCATCTTGAGACCGAGCTCTCTAAGGAGTAGCAATATTGAGGTTAATTGACAAAATGACAGCCGTGGTTAACTTGATGAAGCTGGCTTTACGATGTATTCTGCGCTAGTTGGCGTTTCTCGTTTCCTGCTTTAGAAATTGATCTGTGGTATTTCTCTCTCTCTCTCTCTCTCTCTCTCTCTCTCTCTCTCTCTCTGTTTCTTTCCCCCTTCCTCTCTCTCTCTCTCTCTCTCTCTCTCTCTCACACACACACACACACACACACACACACACACACACACGTACACGCGAGCGCACACACAAATAAACACCATGACACGCACACACACAGATTGTCTAACACCCGCGCACACCTGCTCTCCCTCACCCCCCCCCCTCCTCCCTCACACCTACCCACATACTATCTCTTTCTCATAACACAAGACAACTGTTTCGGTACAACATTTCTAGGTTACTACATATCTACCTATACTTTACCTACCCGCATAAACATAACAACCACTGAACAGACTGAACAGTGCATTCAGTGATGCCACATCCGCTGAAGAACTGGGCCTTTTTAAAATGCACAAAACCTTAAGACGGTGTTTGTAATGAAGAGAGTCGACCACATAATACGACTGCCTAGAGTTGTAAATACGAGTCACGTGTAGCAGTGGGAACGTACTTGGGTGCCCACCAAATGGTTTATTGGGTCAGGGGGGCTAAAAACAGAAATGTACCGGCTGACAGCTGGAGTGACGTGAAGAGGGAAAGAGAGAGAGTTTGTGTCAGGGGAAATGTGTGTGTGTGTATTTGACAGAGAGAAGAAGGGGGAGTGAGAGTGTGTGTGTGTGTGTGTGTGTGAGAGAGAGAGAGAGAGAGAGAGAGAGAGAGAGAGAGAGAGAGTGTGTGTGTCAGGGAAAATGTGTGTGTGTGTTTGACAGAGAGATGAAGGGGGAGACAGAGAGTGTGTGTGTGTGAGTGAGTGTGCATGTGTGTGTGTGTGTGTGTTTGTGTGTGTGTGTGTGTGAGAGAGAGAGAGAGAGAGAGAGTGAGAGAGAGTGAGGGGGGAGAAACAGTGAGAGAGAGAGAGAGAGAGAGAGAGAGAGAGAAACATTAACTCTGTTAATTGAATGGTTCTGCGGCTATATTACCCACTTTCCCCATTTCTTTGTGAGAGCATTTCCACAGTTTCGTTGTAAATACAATAAGCAGCTTCCATGCATCAATCTGCATGTCTACTTCATTCACTATACCCTGCGATACATTCAGGAAATATAGATATTTTCATTAGGAATCATAGACACCTTTAATCTCCTAAATCAGCCCTGTAATCTCCTAAATCACCCTTGTAATCACTAAGAGAACAATCAGAAGCATAAATAAAAATTCTCGATTACATATTTCCTTCTTGGTATCATTTTTATGTGGGAAAAGGTTAATGACACTGTATTTCAAGAGGTGCAAATGTTAACACAAACTAAATCAAAATTTTTTCGTTATTTTTTAAACTTATCAGTTGCCTAATTAATGCTCTGATGAATGAAGCAACTCAGTGATTATAGATACATTCAATTACATTTGATGGTTTATCGTCTAACTACAATGTCGGACTATGAGTAGCGACTATACATAGACTCATTGTTGAGAATGAAGACAATCATTTTTTGTCTTGAAAGATGAAATCAATAATTTATATTCATATGGACGCGGCAAATAAATAAAGGCACAGATATTTACGTATTGGAAATGTTTAATTCTATTGTTATTATTCATAAATTAACGTTTATCAAATTATGTATGTTCGTGAAATTGATTCTCTCTCGCCCCCCCCCCCCTCTCTCTCTCTTAACAAAATAAAAAAAAAACAAAAAACCCGCCTCATTATATGTATTTCTAGGCGTATTTCAGATTCATAGAGAAACCCCCTGGTGTTTAAGTTGTTATTTAGTTTTGTTCACGCTTGACGACACAGAAACTAATTTCTACCAAACTCTCTACCTCAGCGTGTTAACTGGCTAGGCTCAGCTGCTTTTTGTAAGGTTGGGCGTGCCTGTTGTCCAAAACGTCGAGCAAAAAATACATTACCTACCTTTTTCTTTAATATTTCAGTTTAGACAGTAGAAATGAAAAGATGGCGACAGAAGACGTATCTCTCTTCAGTCTGTTTGTGACATCTCTGCACCTAAATAGTTTGTCCAGTGAGAGCTAATGTGGCGTTCAGCTAACTACCGTGGAATTGTAATAAGCCCTGCGTAAACAGAGAGACCGTTGATTAAGCCTTTCTTAGTAAGTTATATTAAACTTTATCAAAGTATCGGGTCATGTGCTCGTATTTGGTCAATGTCTTGCTTAGATTGGGGTGATTGGATCGCCACTCGGTCTCTCGGGTCTCCCTCTCTCTTTCTCTCTTTGGCATCTCCTCACTTTCATCTCTCTCTCTCTCTCTCTCTCTCTCTCTCTCTCTCTCTCTCCGTTATTTACGTGCACGTGACAGGCCGCAGGTCAGTGCCCCCAACTTCTCACGTCTGTTCAGGATAATACCATTCTCACATCAATACTTAACTTATACGAACTCATAAAATCACCGGTGATTAATAAACGGGTGACGAACAGCTGTTTGACTGAAGTTGTGTTTTATTTTGGATAATTAGATAAAGTCCTGGGATATGACAGTCCGATGAAATGTTTGCAACGTGGCTACAAGTTTAAAAAAATAACAAAAGGCAATAACAAATACAGACGTACGCACGCACACATGCACTCACGCGCGCGCGCAAACATGTATGCGCCTACTAGTGCTCGCAAACACACACACACACACACACACACACACACACACAGACAACAAAGTGCTATCTAAAGGCGACATATTATGTGCGGAGAATATTAAATGAAATGATTTTCTTGGAACTATATGAGGCTTTAAACATAAATGAGATTATTTCTCTCATTACAATCAAATAATTGATTTTTAAAGAAAATCAATACTCAAATACCTTAAAATGCTCAACTTTCGCTCACGATCTCTGCAAGTTTTGCTCACACAATTTTCTTCATAATTTCTTTTAAAAAACTTTTCGGACTGCCTTAAGAGTTCCTGGTATCCTGGTATTGTTTGACAATAAAAGTAATCCCCATTCACATTCTGATGAATATATCACTTTCTTGAAGTAGCAGATCTAGAATATTCATCTCTTTGTTTTTACTCCCAACTGTCTTAATTAGTCTGTTTTTCTGTCAAAAAAAAATCATCAAATTGATGTCTAATGTCACAGTTGTGGCTATACTCGCTGATTAACAAGCAAAGTGTCATTGGGGTTCACAGCATGTAACCAAGCTCTCCATGCGAATAACAACATCATCAATCACCAAGTTTACGAAGGGAAACATTAAAATGGGCAAAGACCTAATTAGCGTTTAGCGTGTTTTTAACAACATTGGATGAACACTGTTGTGTTCTGATGACTCTCACGGAAGAGCACATTTCTGCCCGACTTACTCCATTTCGTTCTCAGTCTGGTACAAATAAACAAAGGGAACCGAAGGTAAGGAATAAATGATTTGAAAGATTTCACCTAAGTTAAAACAACGATGAAACAATTGGATCTCTTTATGAATTGATGTTTTTCGACATCACGTCACGTCACGTAGCATCCTATAGATTCTAAAAACTCAAGGTGGCCAGTCCGATACCTAATACAAGCTCGAAAATAGGTCTAAATATTTAGAACAAAAGTTTAGTCCACTCACACCCAGGGGAAATCAGTAGTAGTTTAACTGATTGAAATAGTGTGTCGTGTGTCTCTGTTATAACAAGAAAGGCATTTGATTATGTTTCTGGCTTTTATAATCTATTTAAGCGGACTATTATATGTATGGCTTCATCTTGGACTGAAACTGAAAAAAACATTGTCTGGAATTTCAGCCCTATTTTCGCTGGCCTATTTTTTTCTTTTTTGAGTGTTTGAGCAAATTCCATGTTTTTACATAACATAACAAAGATGTAATTTCCGTTTTGAAGTCTGATTTCAACACAGATATCATAAAAACCGCAACTAATTATATCCAGGAGATTTAATGAAAAAAAAAGCAGGCCAGGAGATGAAGCCTTCATATCGACGTCATCCCTCCACATGAGACACAGTTTATTGAATATTGGATTTGGCAACCTAAAAACCATCATTGACTCTCAGGGTGGTAATATGAATATAATCGCTTTATCTCCTTGATAGTCTAGCGTAAAATAGCTTCTAATGAGCCATACTCTCATTCGTGATGACATAAGACGATGGAACGAAAAAATTCGTCTCTATTTTCCTCCTCTGTAAAAAAAAATAATTAAAGCTTTTTTCCGCTTGATATTTTCTGATAGAATCTTATCAGCAGTGTTTTCATTTGAAACAGAAATTTGCATCGGTACTATTATATCCTGTTCTATTAAAAAATAAGGACGAAAGCTAATCGATCCGGATGGAATAAAATTTTCTATAGGTGTTCTGGTATCGTTAAGGTATTATCCAACGTGAGCAGAGCTAGCAGGAATGGTCCGTGTAACAGAAGAAATTTTTAATTTCTTTTTGTTTCACGAAATCCCCCCCCCCCCAACACCCCCTCCCCCTGCCCCCCCCCACCACCACACATACATACACACACACATACACGCACACACACACACACACACACACACACACATTTCGCCAACAGGTATGGTCCGTGTATAATTTTTTTTTCGATTTCTGTCTTTTCTGTCTTTTTTTTCTCAAGAAATGGAAAACACTCCACCTCAAGCATAACCACCATAGCTGTGAGTTTTTTATAACCAGGAAAGCCATCTCCCTTGGCGCTGTTTAATTAGTTTCTTCGAAGCGTAACATGGAATAATCCGAAACCTTAAGCGTCATATTTGGACTAATCAGGCTTGGAGCTGTATAACTTAAAGAGGCATCTATAACCCAGGGAATTCGGTTGTGTTTTCCACGATAAAATAATTGAAATATAATGATAACGATGATAAATAAATAAATAAATAAATAAATAAATAAATAAATAACCCTTAAAACTTCCACTCCACAAAACTTGCGATTTCGAAAGTTGAAAAAAAAAGGGTTATACATTTTCTTAGTTCCCCACTCAGCTTGAAAACAAACGATCTACAAATTAAGGGACGGCAACTCCGTGTCATGAAACTGGACAAAACGCTCAGTGACTGACCCCTAATGCCCTAATGTGGCCAGTCCCTAGTTACCAAATCACTGCTGACCATTATGACCGCTTCAGTGGTCACAAACCGCTGGCGAAGTGGCTGAAATAAGGCCAAGTCACCTCTTACTATTTTTATATAAGGCTATTAGCACGCCGTAATTGCTGATATATATATATATTTGTTGAACTAATGAGAATTGAATTTTCGTCGTCCATTATTGATGCTTTTCTTCCGATCAGCTCTACTGCTCATGTGCGGCATGCTCTTCAAGCCAAATAAACTATTTCACTACTTGATGAATTAAACAAACAAACCCAAGTTTTATGAATTTAGATAAATCAGAAGAATTGGGCCATAAAATGTATAATCTCACCCCTGCCAAGGACAGTTGAATTCACAGCTGAAACCGTAACACTGAAAAATCAAGTCAGGTCCTTCTC